TCAGACATAAAGAACAAAACAGAGGCTGCAGGTGGATGAGACGTTCTCTGCTTGAACTCAGGTCACCGTCCGACCCAAACGCAGACACTGAGTTAGTCCCTGACATCATTCAGTCTGCGGGAAAGACCAAGTAGAGGTTTATACGTTCTACATACGGTCATGTTGTCATGTTGAGCAGACCGAGTGTTGGTCGGCTAGTCAGTGTGAAGAGAGCAGTGTGTGTGTGTGTGTGTGTGTGTGTGTGAGCTCGTGTACCTCGTTCAGGTGATGGCGTTACCTGTCCGTCAGCCTGTTTCTGCATGAGCCAAACCGGGCCTTTGTAAATGTTCAGCGTCCAGTCAGATGTCGGTTGAAAGACGAGGTGGAGCGCAGGTGTTCTGGTCCGTTTCTGTCTGACAGACTGTTGGCCAAGCCGACATGTTATAGTGAAACCTGAGCTCATGAATGCGGTTCTATGGTGCTGACCGCTCCACGTCCTCCAACTTAGAACCGGTTCTGCTCTGCCAACCTAAATTTGGACCTTCTAAAATGTTTCCACCAAAGCTCAGGTCCACCAGAGCCGGTGCCCTTTCCCTGACAGGCTGTCTCTGTTGGACTCCAGATAACACCTGAAATCACAGCCTGCAGGTGGACGGCGTGAGACCTCAGACATCAAGACGTAACTTTGGTGACGGTGTTGGCTTGGTTACGTTGAGCAGACGGATCCTGGCCGTTGCTCTTCTAGATGTTGTTCTCTCGCCATCATCAGCTCTGAGCAGAACCTGCCACAGGAGTCACTACGATGCTCTCTGCTGCCAGCGAGGAGGAAGATGAGATCAGCCTTTATCTGTCTCACCGTGGAGAGCAGAGCAGGAAGAGGGACTAATGTACGTTCTCTCCTTCATCTTCTGCCGTATCGGTTTAATTTTTAACAGCAATTAAATCGATTATCGTTAATGTCGTTGCTGCTGAATGCAGACTGGTTCACAAAGCGCTGCTCCGGTTCTGTGAATGGACCAGTTTCATTTGTTTATAATAATAATAATAATAATAACACTTTAAAAAGACTTTGTGAGAAGCTGTTGTGTTTGCTGCTGGACATTGTGCATCAACAGTTACGTTTTGAGGCAGAGATTTTTAACCATCAGCGAACACAAGACAAGACTTCATTAATCTCACAGTGGAAAATATAAACGGAGCAGATTCTCCTCCATGTCAAACTGTGTAAGCTGCTCAGAGTCCTTTAAATGGATCAGCACCCTGAACAGCGTTGTTCTATACGTAGGACAGCACGAGTACTGCACAGGTTTGTCTGTATGTAGAAAATAAATACAGACCATTTTAGAAAACACTCCCAATGCACAGATGTGCTGATGAAGGCGTGTGTGTTTCCTCCTTGACCTGACGTGTTGTCAGCTGATGGGCTTAGCAGTGTACAACAGCATCGCTCTGGACATCCACTTCCCTCTCTACTGCTACAGGTACGTGTGTTTTCACTTTACTCACACCAAGTTTGATTTTGACTCCTGAGTCCAGAATCCGGCTGATGTCTCTGCGGCTGCCACAGACTGAGCAGAACAGCTGAGTCCTTCTCTGACGTTTCCAGGATGCGTTTTAAAGAAGTACAACCTGTAATTTGTGTCTTTACAGGAAGCTCCTCACCCCACCTACCACACCATGTGACCAGAATGCCCTCGTTGGCATGGCGACCGCCACCCTGGATGACCTGCAGCAGATCATGCCGGTGGGTGTCTCCGCCCGTCCATTCTCAAAAAAATCTATTATTTGTGACTTCAGAGGTCAAGATTAAGCCTCATAAAGCCCAAAACACACCAGTGAGTCCTAAAGGCATGTTTCACATTTAACAGAATAAAAAAAGTCAGAATTTCACTGTTCAGACGGTCCTTGGACTCATCACATGCTGCTCTGGTGGGAAACTTAAAATCAGCAGAAACACTTTGAACAGTTTGCTGTGACCACTTTGTGTAAAACACAAAACATTCACACAGATGTGTGCAGCTGTGACGTCGTCGCTGACGGAGCTGCAGCCGACAGAAGAATCACTGCAGGCAGATAAGAGCAGCTGTTTGGTGACACCTCTGGGCTACGTGATGATTCCAGTGTGTTTCACTGATGCTACGACAACAGAAGACGTCTCTGAGTTCTCTCTCCGTCCAGTCCAGTGGTTCTGGTTCCACAGAGCTGCAGGACTTTATGTTGCAGTGAAAAATGAGCCACAGTGAAACGTGACAGGAGCAGAAAGAACAACTGGCTAACTGCATGTGGTTCAGAGGATTGAACTGAACCTCTGAAGTGCCTTCAGCATGAACACGTTGCTCGGGCAGCTCAGCAGAAGCAACATGTCCAGTCTGAGTCTCTGCACACCTGCAGTTCTCTCGTCCACCACTAGGTCGTGCCAGAGTCAAACTTTTGATCTCCCTCTGCTCACTTTGTCTCTAAATTCCTCCGATCCTGGTCTTTGAAGGGTCTAAATGTACCTTGATGTGCTGCTGTTCCACCAGATGACCCGTCCAGCTCTGACCACCCTGCCGGCGTCGTGCCGTCCGGCAGCACTCTGACCAATCACTGTGCTGATCGTGTTGTTCTAATATTCACGTGTGCATTTTAGGACGTTTTTACAGGCAGTAAGATCACATGCAGAGAAAATGACCTTTAATGGTTTTGCAGTAGATGTGCTGCTCTTCAGCCATGCAGCTCATGTTCTGGTTCTGGTTCTTCTACGTTCTCAGAACAAACTATCTGCTAGTATTGAGTGAAACTCTTCATAACAGAGTGTTTGTTGCAGCAGCGTGGGTTTATGGGAGTTTTTTTTTACCTAAACAAACGGTTGGAAAACTTAATTTTCAGCTGCTGATTGTTTCCAGATGTGGAGCTAATCCAGCGCCTCCTTCTTCTGCCTCCGTCGTACTCACACCCATCAGAACCACAGTCCTGGGCTTGTGCACACGTACACATGCGCTCTGTTACATTCGCCAGTGTATACATCACGGCTGTACATAGTGTTCTCACATCATGTTCTGGTCTCTGGGAGGATCGAGGCTCAGCGCTCTGACAGCAGAGCAGTTCAGGTGGAGGAACACTTCTACTGCATCGTACAGCGTCGCCTCGCTGTCGTTTTTAGCAGGAAAAGAACAAAGAAAAGTGAAACTGCAGCAGAGATGTCAGCTGATGCAACTGGAGCTCTTCTTTGTTCAGATCTGGTCACTGATTAATGACACGTTGTGAAAGACTGAAGTGACGTAGATGCAGCTGCTCAGTCAGAAATAAACTCACAGCAGCTTCACTGGTTTCAGCGTCCTGCCTCCATCAGAGTGGCATCTGAGGCGCTTTCCAGTTTCCTTTAATACGCTTCATCGATTGAACACATGACGAGTGAACCACCAGACAGATACCACGTTAGCCACCGCTGTCTTTAAGGTTTCCTCACCGTGCTGCAGAGAACTGGGGCCTCTGAGCAAGGCATGAAATAAAGACAGTGTGTTGAACCAGTTCACTGAGAGAGAGCGAGTTATCTGATCACATCCAGAACCTCTGTCAGAAGGTCAGGCTCTGGTTCTCTCTGCACACACACTCTGGCTGCTATAACCGGCCGTGTGGTTGCATAACAGCAGGACATACGATATCCTGCCAGCAGCTGGTGTCAGCACCGAACCTCTGGTGACTCTGCAGCAGCAGCCTTGATTCAGCAAACCGAGCACACACTGATTCAGTTGTTCGGCTTCAGAAAATCAAAGGGTTTGATCTGTTTTGCATTCGTCCAGACATCCCACAGTGTGGCGGTTATGTGGACAAAGGGAGCTTCCAGGCCTCCGCCGGTCTCCAGGAGGTTGTCTGAGTTCAGCCTCACATTCACAGACCTGCTGCGTTCGACCCAGAGCGTCTGCTGGAGGCAACCTGGAGACTTCTGACGTCCTGACATAACTCAGCAGAGCTCAGCCTCCGGCGGCGCTGCAGACACGTTGTCACTTATCATCTCACTTTGATCTTCTGTCTGGAGGGATTGTGTCAGAAAAGCTGATTCATCTCTAGCCTACAGTCGTGTAGTTTCCCTCCATGCATGACTCCACAGCACTGAACAGTATCCCACAGAGGAGCATGTCATTCATTGATAACGTGTTATGTGTCCTGATTCCCGTCTGTTGTGTCTGCAGGAGCTGGCTCACGGTTTGGGAGAGCTGCTGAGCTACGAGGGGAACGTGGAGGAGGACTTCTACCTCACCTTCCAGGTAGCAACCTTCAATCAACGCTCATGTAGGAGGCTCATTTTGAAAAGCTTCAGGTTTTATGGAGCGGAGGCCTTCAGCAGTGACCCTGGTTCATGTCTGAGCCGGCCTGGACCTTCAGTCAGGTCAAGTGAAAGTCATTTTAAAAGCCACAGGAGTTGAACCAAAGGGCTGAACAGCTACAAGCAGCAGCTCATGAGACAGAAACACAACGAGCTGAAGACAGATCTGAAGACAAATACAAGATGCAGCTGCTCCAGATGAAGCCAGGATGATGAGGGGAGTCTGAACAGCCTCTAAGGTTTCAGTCGCCGTTATTTTAGATCTCAAGCATCCAGAAGTATGTGGTTGGTCGACCTCAGAGCTTTAACTGGGCTCTGAAATGTGACAGCGCTGATGAACAAGGCGGCGGCAAAACCTTTCAACTGACTGCATGTCACTGCTCTCAGCACATTTCCTCCTCGTTCCTCACCGTCGCTGCCAAATAACGACAAAAAGGCAAATTCATTAGGTCAGATAGTTTTAGACCCTAAAACGTCTTCAGTCGGATTTTGACAAGAATTAATTGGAGCTGCCTGGAGTCGTCTTTCCTGTTGTTAAGCTGATCGGCTTCAGTCTTGCTTTTATTTGTTCTTGGGGAAAACGTCTAAACTAAAGCCTGGAGCGCCGCCGCTGTGCAGGACGACGCACCTTCACTGCTTAGAAACGGCCTCCAGAAGTTCACACAGCTTCTGTCAACGTTACATTCATTTATTATGTCAAAGTACAAGTTGAACCGGATCCACGTCGAGAACGGAGAGCTCGAATGAAACCCGTCTAAAACAGTAAATTTAGAACCTGCTGCCTCTTGTGCAGGAGACAGAACCTTCAGGTTAAAGGCATTAGAGTAGCATGGGGGGACAGACCAGACCAGAACCTCTCTGAACTTCACAGTCAGAACTCAGCCTCAGTGGAGGAACCCAGTTCTGTGCACTTGTCTGGTTGTTAAACTCTACAGGAGACAATAAGGCAGATGTTAGTTTTAAACACGAGAACTTAGAAAAACTGAAACGACTTCAGTTAGAAAACTTCCTTTCCTGCATATGTATATTATTGCAGGTCCAGTTCTGCTGTTGAGCGTAAATGATCCCGGACCTGCCAGGGTTTGATCATCACAGCTGTTTGTGATGTGAGAGAACCTGAGTGCACAGGAAGCTGTGCAGCAGCTGATGTTGGCCGTGTGACGCTGCAGATGTCTCGTTAGAGGCTGACGGTGCTGACAGACGGCTGTGAGAGCCGTCGCCACCGTGTGATTTCATAAAGTTACCATCAGAGCACTGAGTGAACTGGATCAGATCCACCGACGTCAGGCTGCACGGCTCATCCTTCACGTGTCAGACACACAAATACAAATGAACCTTAATTAACCACCTGCAAGGATTCAAGACTTCAGCTCACAATGTGTTGGTGCCAGGTACTGAAAACTGGCATCCAATGTTCAGTCAGATTAGTAATAATCAGATTCTGGGGCACCGCTGTACATGAACAGGGCCTGTAGTCCCCCATGTGGAGGTCATGGGTTCAAATCCCGCTCATGGCCCTTTCCTGCAGGTCCGTCCCCCATTCTGCTCCCCCACTGTCCTCTCTCTCTCTACTGCTCTATCAAACAACGGCACAAAGGCCAAACTTTAAAAAAACATAAAAAATCAGAGTGTGTGCAGCTGCTTGTGCTTGGACATCTAATAGCTGATAAGTTTGGTTCCTTCTGTGAAATATGGAGAAAAAAAAGACCTAAAATATGTATAGTTCCTGTGACGGTCAGCAGTTTGTTAAATGTGTCGCCGCATTAGTTTGAAGGTAATGAACAGCTTCAGATGAGGATTATTCAGGCCTGACAGCTTTGCTTCTTGGAAATGTTTAATTCATTCTTTTACCTAAATCCAATTTAAATCAGGAAGTAAAAGCAGCTCATGTTCCTGGTCAGACAGACCAGGACGAGCAGGAGTGTTGAGCAGCAGATGTGCACAAACAACTTTACCTGCAGAGCGTCGTTCTTTACAGTCGAGTGTTTCCTGTTTCACAGACGACTGATGATCTGATAGAACAACAATTAGATCAGAAATAAAAAGAGGAAAAGACAAAAACAGAATAAAAAAATATACAAAATGACACTAAAAAGAATAAAACACAAAGTGATGAGCAGCTCATTGTAAATGAACTCAGAGAGACTCCAAACGGCCTCCGCTGCTCACATCAGAACCTCCCCGAGGTGTTCGGACTCACTTTATGTGACATCAGCATGTTTTACGAGCCTGCGGGCCAGAACGGGCCGCTTCGTGCTCCTGTGCGTAGTAAACAGATATAATGGAGTAATTCACGATGCGGCTGGGCAGCTATATGTGACGCTGGAACGTATGTGGGAAGGCGGATTATGTAAGCGTCTGAGCCCAGGTGTTATTTTAACCCACAGTGAGAGCTATAGGCCGGCTCAGTCACACCACCGTGGTGCCGATGAACCCACCAGCTGGCAGGACACTGGCTCCCTCTCTGTGCCGTCTTTAGCGCTGACTCGCTGCTATGCTATGTTTGTATGCATCCCTGTCACTGCGTTAATGCCCTCCGTCAACCCACTGACATAATTAACTCCCTTTGGCCTGGACCAGAACATAACATCTCGTCCTCAGACGTTATTTATACACCTCATATATTAGACAATGTTAGCTCTGAAATCCCAAAGTCCTGCGTCTGCTCCCACAGAAATCCCTCAACATGATTTAAATTCCTCACCGTGTCGGCTGCAGTGGCCGCCTGGTGCAGCGATGCACCGCTCCCAGTGCTCCCAGTGCTCCTGCAGCGCTCCCAGTGCTCCCAGTGCTCCTGCAGCGCTCCCAGTGCCCCTGCAGCGCTCCCAGTGCTCCTGCAGCGCTCCCAGTGCTCCCAGTGCTCCTGCAGCGCTCCCAGTGCTCCTGCAGCGCTCCCAGTGCTCCCAGTGGTCCCCAGAGGTCCTGTTATGGAGATGTACATATAAAGCATCATCTGCTAAGAGCACTGAACAGTCGGCTTTAATTTAATTGTGGGACAGAGGCAGAAGTCAGACAGGAGCTAAACCTGGCGAGTGGAGAGCGGCGATGGTGGTGATGTGGCTGAGAAACCTGTAGCTGGGAGCACATGTGATGAGAGTCTTCTCCCTCAGAACATTGCAGCACAACTATGAGTTTAAAGTCCTGACAGTGGAGACGCTCCTGGTGCTCCTGGTGGGAACTGGCCTCCTGTCATCACCACTGATGATCCTCCACAGTAGAGTCGGCTCGTCCAGCTGTCCACCGACACCGTTTTCTGCTCCAGTTTGATCTCCAGAGGAATCACAGATGTGCAGCTCCCAGAGGTGTCAGAACCACGTACAGATGCTGCTGTTGATGCCATGTGGCCTCGTCACTCATCTGCTGCTCACTCTGCTGCGTGGAGCTGACCGGGACGCTCGTGGTGGATCTGTGCCAAGACCAGTGTCTTTGATCGCATACAGCTGATATCGTTAGTCAGCGACACTGTGGTGTCAGGTTTACGTTTTAGCTGTACGATGCCCTACTTAGTTTGTGTTGAATAGAGATCAAACACAGTCCAGCAAACCCGGTCCACTGGTTTCCTGGATTCTGGTCCTTCTTGCCAGGCAGGTTGTTGTTACCTCAGTGATGAGGTGATCAGCAGGGGGCAGAATCTGTTCCAACAGATGAGCTTCTAATGATATGAATACTGACAACAGTCTTTATTTATGTGAAGCAGCTTTTAGAATCCAGGTCACAAACTAACCGCTCACGGAGCAGCAGAACAGAACCGCCCAGTCGTAAAATCATCAGAGTTTAAGAGACTGACGACAGCACAACACGGTGTATGAAACCAGCACAGGGTTAGAGAGCCAGGACAGGTAGAGACAGAAACACACCTGAGTGGTGAGAGTGGCGTGACTGCTGATGGAACTAGTTTCCTTATTTCGTCATGTCAGATATACCTGATACCAGCACCTGTTTACACATCTACAAGACAAAGACAAGCACTTCCAAGAGGTCCTGGAACTGTAGAAATAAAGATTTGCTTTGTTTCCTATGAAATCCAAAGTTGTGCAGGTGTGTCACATCAGGCCAGATGTTCAGACGCGTGTGCTGTGTGTGTGCTGCAGGTGTTTCAGGAGGAGATGGGCGTGGTCAGAACGTACAACCTGAAGCCTGGAGGAGACAAGATCCCCGTCACCAAGCAGAACAGGAAGGGTGAGTCCCCGGCACCGAGCGGCTTCATGGTTCCGTCTGCTCTGGGATCAGGAGGAGCTGCACCGTTTTCTAGCTGCTATCTCCAGGTTCTGTGTTCTGAAGGAGGCCCGACAGCGATGCTGCAGCCTCCACAGACTCTGGTCTTACTGAGGGTTGTATAATACGCTGTTCACCGTCTCTTACATCACCGCTGCTTTCACAAACACTCAGCGTCTCCAGGACCGCTTTAGTTAAACGGTGCAGGATGTTTGCTCGCTGCTGCTGATGAGGTGTAAAAATCACCTTTTACCGGATTTTATTATGCTTTCTCTGGTTGCCGGGGTTTCTCTGGTTGCCATGGTCACGCAGCGCCCTGCAGCCACAGAACATCTGGATCCATTCGCTCTGGTGCCAGACTGGTGCACCAGTTTAGCCAAGATGTCCCCTGGATGGGTGAACACACTGAAATGCTGCATGACAGGTTCACAGATCTCTGAGCAAAACTTTACTGTAAGTCAGCCAACAGTCAGGATGAGCTGGAACTTTATCAACACTGCTGCCAGGTATCTCCTAGAATATATTTTTACAGTAACATGAGAGTGTATGCAGGTCCTAAGAGGAGACAACAACAGCAGCAGCCAGGTGTACATATGATACAACAGAAAATAAAACCAGGTGAGCTCAAGTAAGACCAGAATAGAAAAGTCAGAAGTGATGCTGGCTCGTGATGTTGAAATATTACACATGATAATCCCAGTTTCAGTGAAAAGCAGCTGGACTTCCCTCTTTTTGGTTCTTGAAGGTTCTTGACATCTCATCCAAGAGGCTCCTTCCAGCGGCTTTCTGCTGATGCTCCTAGTTTTACTGGATGACTGAGAGTCTGGACAGACACATTACTGCGGATCAGGATGTTCTGGCCTGTGGATGAGGTGGTCGACTGATGGATCTGGTGTCCAACCATCCATCTCTGACTCCAGCTGCAGCAGTCATAACCCTGAGAGGCAGACGGCTTCCTGTCCACCAACCATGGGGACGTTGGAAACAAGAGTGTAGTGCAGGAACATTTTCAGACGCCTGAAGGTTGTGCAGGTTCTGACTGCAGGATGAACCCACCTGAAACCTCTCTGAGCAGTGTTCAGGGCAGAACACTTCTCTGGGTCAGACACTGCTGAGCTGTCCTGAATGAACACTCACTGGCTCACTGTTCTGTCCTCTGGATCTTCTCGTGGACTCAACTGTGCACTGAACCCAATAATCCCTCCTGGATGCTTCGTATTTATATACGGTACTTTTCACTACTTTATTGTAAATAAATGCACTTTATTTCTTCAACCAGCAGGATTTGCACATTGCTTTGCTGATTTTTCTTAGATGGAACATGCGTGATAAAAGATAAATGAAGCGTCCTGTTCTCACATCGACGACATAAACGTCTCCATTATCGGCTAACAGTGAATCCGTCCTTGTTCTTGTTCCACTGGAGTTAGTCCAGCATCCACTGGTTTCAGTCACTCAGTTCACACTCAGGCTGTCAGATGTTACACCACAGTGGACACAGAATGGCTAAAAGAGACTTTCTGTTGGTAGATTCTGGATGTTGAGCTAGTTAGCCTGTTTAGAAGTTAGCTCGGGGAACGTCTACCGTCTCTGTTGCTGCCACTGAGGAGACGTTCATTAAAGTTGACATAAAGTTAATTGGACTAGAAGTCACTCCACCTTGAAAAGCTGCTTCTGAGCTGTTTAACGTCATGTGAGCAGCCACACAGAAACCTGCTTCTTTGTTCCTCTGAAGAGGACGACGTCCAGCTGAGAACATCAGCTTTGTTCGTCCTGCTAAAGCCAACTTTCCATCCAGCTGCTGCTGCAGCTCGGTCCAGGTTTCCACCAGCGTCCCTCTGTGTGTTTGTGTCGACTGCACAGAAGCCAGTAATGGAATAATGAAGATCACACTGTTGTTGTGTTTCCACAGAGTACGTCCAGCTCTACGCCGACTTCCTGCTCAATAAATCCATTTACAAGCAGTTTGCTGCCTTCTACCACGGCTTCCACAGCGTGTGCGCCTCCGACGCGCTCATGGTGAGTCCACAGCACCAACACAACACGCTTCACTGGTTCACAAACTAACACGGTGCGCTGCAGGTTGCATCGTTCTAGTGAGATCAGATGTGCAATGTGTGAAATTACAAGTTTAGACGAGGATTCTCTCATTGGTGATGTTTTCTGCAGGGTCTCTGCGTAGCCTCGAGCAAGCTGAGAAGTCGAATGCTTGTCGGTGGTTTGCACTCGCTGCCTTTGTGTCGTATCCATTAAGCAAATTCAGCGGCTTCCCTTCAGCAGAGTCCTCCGTCCAGGACGTCACACAGCGAGGCAGAACCAGGGCAGGGCTGATGGTAGCAGCGCTGTGCTGGAGGAACAGTTCTGCTGCTACACACTAAACTGGATGCATTGAACCCATCCTTGTGTTGACGGCTTCAAAGTGTGAGAACTGTCCTTCTATCATCACGGCTGGAGGAATGAATGTTTAACTTTTAGTGCACTTTTGGAATGTTTGCATTTCCACACGGTTCAGGATGGACTCGTCCTGATCCTCATGAAGCTCTGAGTTATCAGGGCCTCGGTAAACCTGTGAACACACCTGGAATCCTGCACTTTTCTCTTTCTTCATCTTTTGCATCTATTTGTTCTCCACGTTGGCCGCCTCTACATCCTCCACACGCTGACTGATGGACTGTAGCTTTGATTTACACGTTTGTCTTTGCATAAATGCAATATTCAAACATTATTCCAAGACATGAAAAAAAACCAAACAAAAAAAGAGCTACCCAAATCATAAAATCTACAAAAAGCAAAAACTCCAGTTTAAGCCGTCGACCCTCTGAAGGCCTCAGCACGCCGGCGGGTTTGATAACCACGCTGTCTTTACAATAAACATAAATAACCACTAAAATGATACCGTTGATCTGATGGTAAACACAGAGAACTGCCAGATATCCAACTTTCTGACAGGGTCCCTGAACTACTCATCTGAAAAATGAACCAAATCCAAGCATCAGAATCACTTTATTAGATGTTATAAATGTCTCATTTAAAACATTCCCAAACAGACAGTGGCTCCAACCAGATTATGTAAAAATACATTTATAAAAAATAAAAATCTGCGGTCGTTGGCTCCACCGTGAAGCCTTCAGCGGCGCCGCTGTGACCAACAGACATGTTTAACAACTCCTGTTTGAACAGAGGAATAGAATAGAATAGAATAGAACAGAATAGAATAGAACTTTATTGATCCCATTGGTGGAAACCTCAGGGGAATTGCTGATTATTTATAGGACATAGAGTCACCGTGTTTTACTCCACTGGCAGCAGCTGTGGACACCTGGAAACACCTGGAAACACCTGGAAACACGTTGCAGTGAATGAACCCAAAGTGAAGATGAGCTGCAGCATGTGTGTGCTGGTCCGTGTGAGGCGTGTAGCGTGTGCGTGCTCTCGGTGTGAAGGCCGGGGTTTGTTCTGTATCGTGTCTTTAAACAGATCTTGTAAAACGCCCTTCAGCTGAACAGACTCTCACCATGACAGAGTCAATGAAATAAGATTAAGGCCCATTGAAACACGACCAGTTCCATCAGCCAGTCACAAGAGTGTCACTGGAGAGTTAATGGTCAGACTGGGACGCTGCTGCATACGTAATGAACATCACAAGTGTGTTGTTGGAGAACAGAAACAGGAAATCAGAGTCAACTGACCAGATATTTACAGCTTTTTGTGCCCTGAGCTGAAGGAACTCAGTGGATTCAACCTGATGCCAGACACCAGTTTTAATTAATTAATGCTCGACTCGGGTTGTTTCAGCATCAACTGAAGCTAAAATACCACGACAGCATGGAATCATCACTTCCTGTGCAGCTAACATGAACTAAAACCCTCACATTGCTCATATTCCTGCTACGTGCAACACATTCATGAACTGAACTCTCACATCTTCACAGAGAGACATTTTGCCCAGAGATGGAGCCGGGGCAGTAAAAGTCTGTTTGTCTTCCCACTACGTCAGATGTTAGCTCTGGCTGATAAAGAGCTGCTGACTCGGATCGGATCGTGTTGTTGTTTGTTGAACTCTGGGAACCCTGAAGAGGAGGAGGAGGAAGAATCCACGACGTCCAACCACTTCTGATTCAATCAGTTTGTGCCTCAGAAGACGTCTGTGATGTTTAGCTTTAATGCTAACTGTGGATCAAAGCCGCAGTTCATCATGAAATCAAACATATTTCAAGGCAAGAAGGTCCTGAACATCTTGGTGACCGCCACCGTTCACTATATATAAAGAGTAAATATGAAGGAAGTGTTGCAGCCGGCAGTGCTGCTGCTGCTTCATGTGCAGCCTTTGGCCTTCAGGTCTGTGCAGGTTGTGGGTTTAAGGTCGGAGGTGACAGCGGCCGGGTTCACGTCAGGCTGCGTGTTCTGTCGTCGTTTTGTTTTAAAGAGCAACGCCGCGAACTGGACGCTCCGGCTGCAGATAAGACGGTTTATCAGCCTGAATGTGGGTCAGACAGAGAAACCAGGAGCACATGTGGAGCTGCTCTGGAAAACAAAACAGCTTTCTTACATCACATTTTAATTCTAATCTGTGAAATCCAAAGTACCTCCACGTCCACGTTAACTTTACTGTAAGTATCTGAAACCCTTCGTTTGTTCCCTCAAATCCAGACTGGACAAGACATTTACAAACCTAATGATCTTTTCTTTTAGCCAAAGCTAATCAGTAATATCAGGGTCATTATGCACAATGGAGAAGCAGACTGGTAGACTGGTAGACTGGTGGACTGGTGGACTGGTGGACTGGTAGACTGGTGGACTGGTAGACTGATGGACTGGTAGACTCACAGACCGACAGACTCACAGACCAACACTAACCCGTCACGGCTGCCTGATCGTCGTTTCCATGGACTCAGTAAACAAACAAGGCTGCACAACATCATGAACATTAAATTACTTTTGAACTGCTTTTGTATTAAAAAGACTAAAAATAAGATGTGATTTAATAACCCCATAGAAGATAATACAAGTCACAGGTCGTCTTTATGCACAGACCATGTTGTTGTTGCTGGTCACTGGTCAGCTCATTCAGCCTCTCTGGGTTTCATGTTTATCCATCTGTAGAGCTACAGCTCATAGAAGATCATACGCTGTGTGAGTGTAACATCCATGTTCATGGTTTTTTACATAAACATACAAATTTTAAATGTGGTCTGAAACAATCTACTGTGAGCTCTGGAGACTGGAGTGTGCAGCAGGAGGGATTTCATACAGGAGCTGTGCAGCACGCTCAGTGAACTGGTTTCTGTTTCAGTGTGGTGTGCACAGACTGGATGTTCAGCCGGTGGGTGGTGCAACAGGAAACCTCATTATTTGTGTCATCTTCTGCCAAACACCAAGATTTCTGAGGTGTTAGGAGGTGAAGACGTGATGATGGCAGCATAGATGAAGGTCAGAGGGATGTGATGTGAGGAGAAGGATGGGTTTCCTGTGTGACATGTTCTAGAGGATTTAAATCAGCTGTAAGAAGCTCTGTCACTGATTCTTTGATCGTTTTCTTTCTTTAGATCCTCAGCTGAGATTTAATCTGTAAACCTGCTGAGCTGTACGTCGGTGATCCCTGTGAAGCCCACAGCCTCGGCTTGGTGCTGCTCAGGAAGCTGTTTATGTTGTCATTCTTGGTCCTGATTGGCTGCCACGTCTGCTACTGCAGATTAGAAAGTAATCAGTCTATTCCTATGGATCAGATCATGTTCAATCAACAACATTAGTTTCACTTTAATTTGGCCAAAAAGTGAACTAATGTCCCCGTGGTCCTGATTCTGGGCCGGTGTCGGACCTACATGGATAAAGTCTGAAGCGTCGGCGCTCTGATGAGTCGCTGGTTGACTGTTTTCTACCGACGTGCCTCATTTGCAGGAACAGGGAGGAGATTTTTCCCTATTTCCTCATATCTCTGCTTTATAACAACCTGCTGGTCTGGACTGAAGCAGGTCGAACAGAACGCTGGCACAACACTCAGGTTTTAGGTTTTGTTGAGCTGGCTAACACCACCTCAGAAGGCCCCATGGTTCAGACGTCCCCTCATCAACCAGATTTAGTGTCGTATTTAGAAACTACAGCCATTGTTCACACATTTTAACTTGTGAAGTCTTCTTGAGTCGGTCAGAGTTCAGCGTGTCTGACACACTTCTACTGCCTGAGTCACACCTTCCAGTTTTACTAGACTTGATCCGGTGTCATCCGGCTGCAGTCGCTCCGTCACTGAGGACGTGACGAGCAGCCTGTGGTTGGTTTGTGGACGTGTTCTGTGGTTTCACTCTGGTTCTACCTGCTCTTGCTCGGTGATGTGGTTCTGACAGACATGAGGCTGTGAATTCTGCTCAAACACTTTCAGATATGAAGCAGCTGAAACAGGAAACTTGCTGTGAAGTCGACTCTCTGACAGTTTGACATGTTATCAGCTGTTGGTATGAAGCAGGACTTCCCCGTTTCTCCTCATTTACTGGCTGCGTTTCGTTTGCATCACCGAGCAGCGGAAAAGAGTGAAACTTCTGCAGAAAGGCTGAAGTTGCGCATAAACAGCTGTTCCAGAGAAGCCTGCTGATAAAACAGCACGTCCAGGTTGAGATGAAACCAGAGGCAGGAAATGAGCTCCTTCAGCGCCACATATGGTGGACGTTCTTGTATTTGCCTCCTTATTTTGTGTTTGTTTGTTTTTTTGCACTGGATTCAAACGATATCTGGTCATTTTGTTTTTAAAGGTTTTCAGATGCTTTGAGCTGCTTCATGTTGCTTTGCTTGACCTCAGAGCTGCAGCTGAGGATGTGTTTGATTGATCAGTCAGACAGTTGTTGGGTCTATAAAACGTCAGAAAGCGGCTGAACGTGTCCTTCAGGGTCCAAGATGGCGTCCGCAAATACTGACATTCAGTTTAGGGTCAGATTTAAACTCCCTGTTGGAACTTAAGAAGCAGGGACTTGAGAATTTGGACATTTTTCCCCAAGAAAGGACTCAAACTGAAGAATCCGTGACTAGAACAGTGATCGGTCATGTCAGCTTCACATCACAAAGTGTTTGTTGCTTTAATCACATGATGCGTGAACAGCCGACCCTGTTGTCTCTAACTGAGTGTTTTTCTCTCCTCGTCGTCGTTGCAGCTGCTGCGGCCGGAGGAGGTGGAGATGTTGGTTTGTGGGAGTCCAGAGCTCGACATGAGCGCTCTGCAGAAAGCTGCTCAGTACGAAGGATACAGCAAAACGGACAGCACCGTACGGTAGGACGCTTCCTGTTTACTGACACCCAGCAGGAAGTCCAGACACTGAACCAGACACTGAGCCCGCTTCCACTTCCTTCATCTGCTGACCCGTCGTACAAATCACAAGTTCTTTTAGAGATTAGAAGTTTAGTCATTTATTCAAGCTGTGAACTCCTTCATGCTGATCTTCAGACTGGAGCAGGACTGTGGCCCAGCTGTCTGACCAGCTCTTCATCTGGTCCTTCAGTGTGAGACGTGGTGGTTCTGGTCCCTTAAAGCAACGACATTCATCAGTTTTACATTGTTGTTCCTCACAGCTTCATTCAGAGAGCCGTGCACGCAGTGAGCGACAGTTTATTAAATATAGAAACAAATCATGTCTAATGCAGTCAAAGCTACCAGCAGTTTATCACAGCATCAACAGAACCGACAGCGGACTGTGGTTCTGTCCATGTGTGACCTGCTGTTAGATCCTGAATCCATAAGTGATCACACAGCTCAGCTGCTCGGTCCGTCTGCTGATGTGATGCTCAGTCCGGACCGGTGCCTTGTTGAAATGAATCACAAACATCTGTGGGTCTGACCTACTGACCCGACCCGCTCAGCCAGGTTAGCAGAGGAGCTGTTCTGGGTCTTTATCAGGGCGTAGCTCACTTTCTCTCACAAACAGACCCACACAGTCGATCCTTTTGTTCGACAGGAAAGCGAGCCGCCGCCTGTCATCACAGATAATGAGGCTGTGCAGGCTGCTGACAGCTGACGACAAGCAGCTGCAGGCTAACCCTAACCCAGCGCTCTGATCCATCCTCTGCATCTCAGGGCATCAAAGTGTTGGTCGGTGTCCACTAGAGACAGAAATAGAACGGTCTGAGCCGGGCCGACCCACTACTGAACACCGCCTGATCAGACGCCTTCAAGCAGAGAGGCTCTGGTTCTGTCCTCAGCTGGATCAGAACTTTCCTGCATGTCGTTCCTCCTCCTTCACGTCCGTCTCCATCCATCCAATAACAGCAGGAACACCAGAGTCCGTTTACAGAATGATCTCATGTTCTGTCTTGTAAGGCGATGAATCTGATGGTGGCGTTTGTAACCGCCACGTGGAGCTTCTCCTGTTCATCATGATGCAGTACATGGTCCCGCCGGGCCGCTCCATGGACCCACGGGCCTGCATGCTGTCTGCTCAACAGCCCACCAGCTGCAGTCGTGTCAACACATTTCCTCAGTGGTTCATTTCTCACTGCAGCATGAAGCACCTCCATGGAACCAGAACAACCATGAAGAAGGAGACAGAACTCAGAGTTTGGTCATAAAACAAAAACATGAAACTTTAGTTCTTTGACGACTTCTCAAAAAATGAAAATCCCAAAATCAGCTTATCATCAAACTCCTCTAACCACAGGTGTCAGCCGTCACATTGCACAGTGCAGATATTTACCGACGTCTTGTGTTTGTTTGCATGCCGGCGTTACGTCTCTACTGTTTAAACAGCTCAGCTGAAAGGTCTTCTGTCATGTGACTGTTGGTCGCTGTGAGTCGCTCAAGAAGCTCAGATCAGTCGTTTGTTCCAGAACGTGACACAAACGATTGTTTTTTTAATGAGATGCTCAGAATCGTATTTCAAGTATTTCACAGATCACAGGAGAGTTAAAAAGACAGCAGCTCTGTTTTTATACAGTTTCTAATAAACGCTGTAATGTGAGTGGGTTTTCTAGACCAGGCTGGGCTTCAGAGAGTTTAGCTTCAGCGGATGAATCTGGTGCTTTAGTTTGTGTTTGCTGCCGGAGAGCCTCTCCTGAGCTCCTGTGACCACCTGTGTGCTCCAACAGGTGCTTCTGGGACGTGGTGCTGGCCTTTCCTCTGGAGCTGCAGAAGAAGCTCCTCCACTTCGCCACAGGAAGCGACCGCGTCCCTGTCGGAGGAATGGCCGACCTCAACTTTAAAATCTCCAAGATCGAAGTTCCAACTGACTGGTAGGTTTCCAAAGACTGACCAAAGGCAGATCAGAGCTCAGGGTGCCGGAGACGGCGTTACAGACATTACATAGAATCTATGGACACAGCAAAGCTGAGATCATTGAAATATCTGTGGTTAGTTCTCATATTCCTGCACAGTTCCTCCACCAGTCTACACTGTGCAGCAGTGAAGACCTTTAGAACCCTCAGACGTCCACCGTCACACCACCATCACCCCATTCCTTATTTCCCAACCTGAATGTGTGAGTGTGCAGACTAATGGGTGAAGTATTAACCCTGAAACCTTCCTCCGTCTGCCCGTCGTACTCAACTGGATCCACAGACTTGGTTGTAGCTGCAGCAGATAAGGAGCGCTGTTGAACTTTAACAAACCCTGAATCTGGGTCAGGAACAAACAGACTGCCCCACTGCTGCTGGTTCACACAGGCTCTTCTTCTGTGGTTTGTTCTGCTGCTTCCAGCACAGAGCAGGGACGAGACACTGAGGCCTGCAGGACGCCCGTCTGCAGCTCAGACGTGTTGCACGAGTGATTGTAGATCAACTGAAAGGTTTTTATTCACTGTCCACCTCCACCAGGTCATTTACAACAAATAAATCCACATGGCACTAAAATACCTGAGACAGGACGGGACGGGGCTCATCCTGCTCTTATTTACTGTGAACATTTATTTAAAAGGCAGCAATTTGTTGTAGATTATTAATTATTATTTAGAAACAAAGGAAAAATTATTTCATGTTTTGTTCAAAAAAAAAAAAAAAAAGTGTAAAAATGACGTGAAAATCTAGTTTTGGTCTGAACATTGATTTATAAACGTCATGCAGTCACTTTTACAGCAGCCTGCCCTCAGCACTGATTCTTGTTTTTGGTTTCCAAAAATAAAGCATCAACTTCTACAGTATTTCACCATATTTTTGAAAACCAGCACCACCAGTGATCTTCTGTGGTAGTCATCACAAACGTCATCGTTCCCAGCATCTCATCTGGTCCTCCTCTCTGCTTTTCCGTCCTCAGGTTGCCGATCTCACACACCTGCTTCAATCAGATCTGTCTGCCTCCGTATCGAACCAGGAAGGAGCTCAAACACAAACTGACCATCGCCATCTCCAACGCCGAGGGCTTCGGCCTGGAGTGACCGTTAGCGGCGCTAGCTACGCGTCCACTAGCTACACGCCCGCTAGCTACACGCCCGCTAGCTACGCACCCGCTACCACGTCACGGCACGCTTCATGAATCTCAAGGAAATGACATGAAAGAATATTCTAAAGACGTTTTCACTTTTAAAATCTGCAGCAGCTGAGGTGGGAGCTTCGAGGAGATCTCCAGGGATCCTGTTCTTTGCACATGAACTGGTGTTAACGAAGAAGTTCTCATGTCCACGAGAAGTACAGAACTGTGCAAAAGTTTCACTTCCTTCTCATTCTATCATGCAGTGCAGTCAGGGAGGTGCTGAGTTCATCCTGCAGCACGAAGCTGAACGTCCAGCCGGCATCACACAGACCCTCAGAACAGCACGGAGTCCTGCAGCATCAGGACCGTCAGTCTGGACCACATGAAGACCACAGAGACACATGAGTGGGTGTTCTGAGGAGAGCTGCTTCTGTTTGACAGGCTAATGCAGATTTTAGTTGTTTTTACCTACAAAAATGCAGCAATGTTTCCTCGAGCATCCTCTTTGTGGCTCAAACTTTTGCACAGTCCTGTAGCTCTCACATGTAAACGTCCCGAAGTGTCCTCGCTTCACAAATCAAATACTTCTGTTCATGACAACGAATCAAACGTGTTCTGTAGAAACCTTCAGTCGCCAAAAAAGGTTTGCTCAGGTAACTGTAATAATCGTATTTTTGAACCGATGACCAGGAGGTTGTTCTTTGGTCTGCAGCAAACGGAGCTGAACGACCAGGATGTAGAAGCAACATCACAGAGTTCAGTGTGTGTGAAGCTGAAGTGTGAGTAGAAAGTGTCAGTAGAGTGTAAACGTCAAGTTATGAGATGTACCAGTGTAATATTCCCCTTTTCAATCCTGACTTCAGTCACTTCCTGAACATGTTGTTTTCTGTGGTTGGGCTTTATTTACTGTCCGGATGTAGAGCTTTGCTGGTGCACCATGAGATGTAGACTGTCTGGTGAATAGTTGTGTGTTTTTGACATTGCCGCCTGTTTTCATGGAACAAAAGGCTGCAGCAGAAATGTTTTGTTGTAAATGTTGAGTTGAACCAGAGCTGTCCGGCGACGGCTCGGCGTCTGTTCCTGTTGTTTTGTGTTGTGTTGTGGATGTTCGTCAGACAGAAGAACGCAGGATGGGAGAAGAAACCATCTTCTGGGTGTTCATGTTAACGTGTTGGCTGTTTGAGGATGTTGAAAAAATCGTGCCTTAAATACAGATTACATCTTTTCTTTTTTTAAACGTGGAGGCAGCTTGAGTGAAGCACCAACGTCTGGCCTGCACACGCTCAGAAATGTTCTTGTTGCATCAGTTGTGAAACCCAAAGTATCACACAGTCTCCTCCTCACTTAGCAGGTAGAGTTCTGCTTCGAAGCTCTGCTGGTTAGAAGTTCTAATGCAACAATATTCTGAAGTGTTGATTAAAAGTCCTTCTCCTGCACTGATTAAAGCTCGTCTGACTCCCCAGATGTCGACTCCAGCTGTGAGCTGAGCGTTTTTCACATCACGTCTACAAGCTGCATGCTGGAAATTACACGTCTTAAAGATCTGGACCACGCGGTGAAGCTGTCTTGGTGAATTTGGCATTTTGTTGAACCTTTTGCAGGGGCACCATCACTGCATCCTGGGCTCAGCGCGACCCAGGACAGCTGTGATTGGTTTAAAGAAATGTACCCGATCCAGAGCGTGATGATGAGGTGGACCGTTCTGCAGTCAGAGGATGGTCTTAAACTTCTATAAACTCATGTCTGTGCATCAGAATTAAGATTTTTTTCCTGTGAAATCATCCCTTTATGCTTTAGATGTAACTTCACACTTTGACCAGCTGCTGACCTGCAGCTCAAGCTCACCTTTAAATCAAACGCTGTCAAACTACTCAGCAGCACGTTCAAGACGGTACCAGGTGTGATTTTGGTCCCGGAGTGCAGCTCTTTGCCTTTACAGATTAAAACACAGTAAATATTATCGATATATTTATAAAATGTGGCTGCTGGTGGCTGCACGGCTCTGCTGGTTTTCTACAGCTACAGCAGGAAGAGTCTCACTGTGAAGATAAATGATCTGGGCTTTGAGCAGAAATGACAGATTCCAGCTTTTCCTTCTCTTCAGGTGTGCTTCAGTGTGCAGATGGATCGACTGCCATCCATGCAGGAGGCAGACTCCTCCCAGATTTTAACGAGGAGTGAAACCCTTCAGAGTTCTGGAAACCTCCCTGTTTGCTTCAGAGCAGTTATTGGATCAGCCTAGCACCGGTGCAAAGCATCAGTCAGCTTTGAGAAAGCGACCTGTTGGCATCCAGGCTTATCGCCGCTGTCGTAACTTTCTGTAACTTGCTGCTGCCGCCCAGCGCTGCTGATTAAAGCCTTCGGCCTTCTTATGTAAGGCTGCCTGGCAGAATGTCTGGAATCCTAACGACAGACCAAAGTAACCAGGCAACGGTCGAGGACTTGAATGGATGCGCCGCCCAAACTCTGGATCGCTCTAAATCTGGGTCAGTTATTCACTCGGTCTCGCTATACGGTCTGAAATAACCCCCGTTACACAACAAAGGAGCCTTTCTGCCACTTTACGACGAGCTGGGAGCCAGAAGCTTCTCCTGCATCTGATGAGGACGACCACATTCACATCACGTCGGCCTGCCGTACAACAACAGGCTGCTGACTGGGGCAAAAGGAAGACATTTTACATGAGATTAGAAATGGGAGACGGGACTCGTGCTTATTCATGTCAGGATGGGTTTTAGACCCGGTTCTGCTGTGTGAACAGGACCAGCTGTGTCCGGTTATACAGCAAAGAGCTCGATGAACGTCTGTTTGGAAATAGTTCAAATGGATTCAAAGATGAGATGTAATTATTGTCACTGGTCAGAGGTTTGGACCGGCCCAGAAAAGTTTCTCATGTTTGTGTTTAATGTTTAACAGTTTCAGCAGTTTGTGTTCATGTGCTGCAGTCGGGTTTTAACACGGGTTGACCGTTCATGACCCACTTTCTGAAGCC